CTATTAGAAAATCATGATTTACTTTTTTGTATTTCCTACCTCATAGGTACATATAGAGGTAGTATCCAAAAAATTCATCGAGTAAAGTGCGATATTTATTATGAAATTCTTTGATGTTTCAGTAATAGTTTCTTGTTTTATTCAATACTATCACATTCCTTACTATTTCATAATCACGTCACCGCGGTCCAGTTCCACAGTCCACTACTGGATTGGGTCCTTTAAGAAAGATCGCCATATTCTCCCCGGTTGGCAGACGGGCCGGAGATTGCAGTTTAAAAACTCTAGTTTTATTTAACAATGCCAAATTGTAATTTTAATGCCTCACAAAATATCCTCGAAAACGGTATTGAACCCGGGGTTTCACCTATGTACAATATTTATATAAGCGATGCAATATTTTGTTTGACACGGCACATAAAATATATTTACTTAATCAAAGCCAATAATGTTTTATGGAGGTAAATAGATAGACGTATGGCCATGTAGATAGCATTGTAGGTATTCTAGATTTTAAAAAGAATAATAATTATCTTTGTGTAACCTAAACTGATTAGGCGTGGAACAAAGAGAGCCGTCTCCGACTCCACACGCAATCAATTCTAAAACTGCTGTATGAATTTTCATAGAGATCATTTGTATCGATATTTTGTATAAGATCAAAGCTGTATGATCTCCAAAGAGGCCAGCAGAGATCACTGCACAATGCCCATACAATTTTAGCCCCATTTTTAACCTGTTAAATTTTCCATGTAATAGTGAGCTTATTGCCATATTTAGGGCAAGATTAGACTTCGTGCCAAATATTATTTTTTTACAACTGCCACATTTTCATTTTTGGTTCCTGTCGTTTCGAGGTCAACCTGAGGCAAGTACCCATAGATGTTGATGTTCTATGACAACAGGAATTGAGCGTGAGTTAGGTTATCATAGGTCCAATGATCTCTCGCCTTGCTTGAAGCGAGAGGGAATGTCAGACTGACTAAAAACCATCCCATTAATGCTCCTTTTTTAAAAGAGTAACGAATGGAGTATGCTCGTTCTTCTCCATTCGAATCTACATTTTGGAATGAGCACCTAGCTTCAATGACGGATAGACTGACAGGCTACTATTTATTTTGTATTTGTTGACGTTTCAAAAGTACCAAATTATGGTTTAATTGAAATAAATGCTTTGACTTTGAATCCTGCTCTGTGAGTCGGAGCCCCGGTAACCTGTTACGATGTCTGCAGCTCCGGTTAGTGGGATAACTAAGAGAATATTTACCACTCAAGAATATTCAGTATACAAAGTTACCTAAATACTTTAAACTGTGCAAATACTTGTATACATTATACAGTCCCACATTCATTCAACGTTACAAAAAAAACAAATTCGCGTATTGTACAATTCATGGCCATATTGTTGTGTTTACGGCATACAAATTTTAACAGGCGGGCATCGAATCTCGACCCGTCTACTGACTGCTAATGAACTCAAATTTTACGAGCAGTGTCGCTTACTTAATATGACGTAACGTCTTTATGTGTGTTTGTATGTACATAATAATATAGGCATACATCCATTGGTATGTTTTGATCGATCGTAAATTGTTTGGTTTGTCTATAAATCTATATTCTATATAGGTACAATTATACATAATTATAAAGGGGGGAATAGTTTCATTTTTATAAGGGGGGGAAATCATCGAATGAGAGCAGTCATTGGGTGAGGCGGGAGAGAGTGTCAGACTCTTACTGACTAAAAACCACCCCGTTCCTTCTCCTGCACGTCGAGCCGGAGCCCCGGTAACCCGTTAGGTTCTCCGCGACGAATAGTTTGATTGTGTATATGTTTGCATTAACTCTTTCAGTCACACTTTTAACTGGTTACGAATATATTTTATTTAATTATACTGAAATGCTTAAAAACCAATGCTAACTAAATTGAAGCATACTTACTTCAAAATTGAATTTCTAAGAAAAGGTGGTTAGTTACAGTGGCCACCAAGACTGAAAGAATTAAATAGGCTCTGAAACTACGAGTTCATATTGAAAAATTTCCTTCAGTAGATGAAAAACTTAGGTACTTATCTGAGAGCAACATAAATCACTTTTTGTCTCGATATTTAATTTTGTACCAAATTAGTACCTAATCTAGATAAATCCACTGTACCTACTAAGTTCTTAATTGCTGCGGAATTGTCCAAGTTGCCATTAAAGAGCCTCAAAAATAAACCTGAAAGCAATCGGTTACGAAACACTTATACTCCGTCTGTTTAGGTAGTTAACTATTTGTAAACAAACCATAAAAAGAGTTCTTTATAGTTGACATTTCCATGATTCAAAATACTTCATAAGAAAATAAAATTGTTTCCCTTTTTACGACAGTTTTCTCATTAAATGTTATGTTTCTGTTCCTTTTCACTTATTTCGTAATAAATATTAAATATATCTGCTTGAGGATATTAATTTAATAACATTTATTAAGTAATATAATATTTCATTACAATAGACACCATAAAGAGCCTAAAATCCCAGGTATCCAAAACGTTTCTTTAAGAACGAAGCAAAATAATGTTGTCAAATTAAAGAGTACAACGAAGATGTAGCGCGACAATGAAAGTAGCGTGTATTACGTTTAATCGGTTTATCAGGCGCCATTGACAGCTCTCTCGTCGTTTGCGCTCGCGTTCCTATTTTGTTGAATTTAACTTGTTTCTTTGTTTTGTTTTTGTTATTAAGTTATTTAAGTTTAGGTTAATCATCGTTTGTAATTAATGTGTTCAAATATATTGAAGAAACTTGGCCCAAAGACAGATATCCGTACAAGAAAGAAATTCGTACATCAGATTCAGAATAGTTTCTATTTAAACATGATAATGAAATATACCTATAGGCTAGGCTCTTGTACGATTTAGGCATTTGTACCATAGTATAAAACTATGTTTGTACTTGTATGTGTGTGTATGACAAATGAACGATTTTAAAGTGAATTTAGTTAAAATTAAAACACGAGAAATATTTGAAGTAATAGTAGGTTAAGTATCTGTGTCACGTGGTTTTCTTTGTTTACCTTTAGTTAATTACCTAAACAGATGGACTATAGATACTTAAAGTTGGACAACATGAGAAAATTATATTTTATTTAACAAATCATAATAGGTACTTATTTATTATCCTTAAACTGTCAAACACCAAGCGGTCACCGGTGACCGCGACCTATTGTTCTTTAAAATTGTGTCTATAAAACCGGTAGGTACTCGACGAGTTAAATCGTACATTTGATTCACCTACCAAATTTAGACCATTCCCATTATCGGAGGAATGAATACAATTCAAATTAAAAACGTGGGTAAGGCATAATACCATACCATAACCCATGGAAAGAAGCATGATATAACTTCATGTTTATCTAATTAAGTTACAATGAAATTCGTAGATTTATGAGCGATGTGAGTCAACTATAGCCTATAATGTAGGTACTTGATTATTCCATCCCAGTAGCTGGGCGCCTATCACACAATAAAATAAATTGCAAAGGCTTAAGCTCATTTCATCAAAACGCCACTACGTGTAGCTATGTACATTTATCATGTAAAACATAGCCTCGCTCTGCTACGTCGGTTAAATAATTGTTTCTATTAAGTGTTATTTGGCAGTTCGACACGTTTGCACGTGCGTATTTCGTTCCCGCCAATCGCCATATTGTTTCTAATGTCAAATCAAATCAATGTTTTTTTTTATTTTGTTTCTATGGAAACTGTATGTACAGCTTCTGAGAGCCTAAGTACAGACTGTTCTGAAATCTTTAAAACTGGCCTTCATAAAATTTTGGCTAATTGAAACTTATCTAATCAAAACATAGGTATTTATTGTAAAATATACTCCTAGTTAAGATAGGTTGATGAAAACCGGCATGAAAGGTCTGTTGTCAACTTTATAGGGCCAATTTTTCAACAATCACTTTGAACAAATTTGACAGTTTTTAGTATATAAGAATTGTCAATTATTCAAATATATTCCTCAGTTAAGAATTAACTGATGATTGAATAATCAAATATTCAACTTACTGGATACTTGCCCACCATAATAGAGTAGGCAGGTAAATGAGTACCTATATTACTTAGTAAAAAAAAATTACCTTCTGAATCTTATGATTACCTTTACTCATTCTACATAAACAGTTACCTACTTGTAAATAGGTATAGGTATTTAATTCGTCCTTGACATTACACTTCCATGTCTGCTTGTGTTAGTAGGTAGGTAGATACTAACTCTAGGTACGACATAACTATACATATATATACTCTACCTACTTATTAATATGGATCTACTTAATTGAGTTAAAGTTACATTGTCTAAGTTGCGGTGAAAAACGGCCGTTCACGTATTTATGAGTTTATTGATATTTAACTCAATTCGTAAAATTGATTACTCAACATGATTAGAACATGAACAATGAATATAAAAATGAATCATAGTTTACTGGTAGCATGACTCATTATGTGCTAATGCTGCCATCTAGCGCCGCAATGTTCAAACATTTAACCTCTTTAGTGGTGAATGTGACATGAGTCACGTTGTCAATAGTTTTACAATGAATGACGATAGATGGTAGATGTATCGAAAATATTGTAAAAGTAATAATTATAAAATAAAGATAACATAAATTTAATCGTTATTATATCTTATGATATATCGATAATATGTATTTTTAAAATAATACAAATGTTTCTAAAAAAATATTTACTCAACTGCAACAAACTTGGCTGTTTGCAACGTTGGCCTTTGCTTGAGTTTAGGTACGAATTTCTATTGCACAAAAAATAAAAAAAAAGTGCGAGGTAGCGAGAAATGGCGTCGCAAGTTGTTTTTTATTCGTAATCAATGTGTTTCTAATCATTATAGATGATTGTAAAAGCGATACATATTGTTAAGATAATACTGATCAGTTCCGTCGATGTTTAATTGAAGAACTGTGGTTATTTTGACGTGATTACATCTTTGACCGTCGGACAATGGCGTCGTCGAACGAAGCGAGAGTTACCAATGTAAAAGTTAGTGAAAATCGTGATTTCGTTGACGATTACTGTGGCTCCAATAGCTTAGGAGATGCCGGCGAAGGTGCTAAGCGTCGTCGTACAGCATACGACTGCAAAACTGTGTCTCAACAGGGATGCGGGACAAGTGTGTCAACTGATCTAAAACATACACCATCATCTGAAACCAAAGGTAGTATTTCGTTCTATATGTACTTACTAATCTAGCACACATCGATTTAGAATATTCAATAAGGTTGCTATACTAGTTTATTGTATTTCCTCTGTTAATATTTTGGTGGGAAAGATGTTAACCTCTAGTATTGTGAATTACATCATTAGCACTGAGGTCGTAGGTGTTTATAAACACAACACACGCTTTCCATACGGCATTATTATCTTTTTAGCTCCTCAGCATAGTTATTTTCTTTCTTCGAAGCTCCTTTGAGGTGAATAGATATGGTTTTGTATGGTTGTAAGGCACTTGCATCATGTCGACCTTGAGATTGCTAAACTGGTACTTTCTATTTGATAATATAACTGTACATTGCAACTACTCCATTATAAACTTAATGTTATAGATATTGGTAGCAAACCTTGGTGGTGGTTTGTGAAAATATTGTCTATTGTATCCCAAAATCATTTGTTACCGTTAACAATACCTCGTCTGTGATCTGCCAGTTATTTTGTATTAGAAGTTAATTTTTATTGTTACATAAGGTTTAATATTAGAAGAAACACATGAATGTACTTTATTTAAATGTTTTTACAGGGAATCTGATCAGTTCGGTACAATATTGAATTTGTTTTAAGTTTTTATTAAACATAGGTAATTTCAACTGCATAATCTGTCGCATCTCATTGCCTAACACAGTTATAAGTTATAAATTAACCTTCTTTTACTTAGATACAATCTTTAAATGCTGTAGATGTTCTTTTGAAATATAAATTGTTATATATATTTTTTTAATTTTTATATTGACATCTCCAAATGCACAACTAACTTTTCTAACGGTTGAGTTTCATTCTTTTTCAAATTTAACATTACTGCTGAAAATGATCAAATTGTCACAATCACCCTAAATTCTAACTTACATCAACATGTCTTTGAAATAAACGATTATTTAATATTGAATTAATTAAAATTGATACTCCATATCCCTAATTTGACCCATTAACCATTTTATATAATACATAAATAAATAACTATTGATGTGATCATTTACTATCACTTGGGACATTTAAAATGGTCAGGCAATGATTGAAAAGCATTTCATTAACTCTTTTTTCAAGATGGCACCCATTAATTTACACAGTATAAGCAAAAAAATTACTAATTAAATAGGTTTATTTGAGAATTAAACTTATCAATCTCAAGTTTATTTTTCTTTTAACCAAACATGGTTTCCATTTCTTTTATTATAGGTCGAAAGTCAAAGCGTTTGTTTCAATTAATCCTTAACTAAATACCTTTGAAACATCAAATGAGTGAGAATACATCTGGCAATTGACAAAAAGCCTTATTTACTTATGAAAATTGTATTTACCTATTTGTAGAACAGCTATTTATAAATCCAAGTCAATCTTTTTGTTCTCCGTTAAAAATAAGTCAGTACTTATGATGATAAAGATTAATTGTTTATTGTTTACTATTAATAAACTTTTTTATTAATAAAACAATACACTTCCTTATTCCTGATTGTATGAAGTGATAATACAAGACAGGAATAGAAAATTTATGACAATTTATTCATATTAAAATTACTTAAGTAATTCCTGAAAAAAAAACAGGGTTTTTAGCTTTTCCTGCTGTCAACATCAATGTTTGTATGTAAAATATGTAAGTCACATTCATTACCAAAAATCGTCATTAATTTTTGATCCTATTCATCTCTGAAAAGACCAAATGTAGCATAAAAATAAAAAAAAATTAAATTATGTAAACCTTCATGGTTTTTATTTGCTAATGTCGCCTGTCATTGATTGATTATATGAAATTTACCAGAAAAGATAGTGTGTTTCGTTAATTAATCATACTTTATTGATAAGAAAGTATAATATGTTACAAAACAACTTCTGGAAGTATTTCATGGAAAAAATTACTTGCATTTTCAATTTTAATACTACAATTACTTGCAACAGTAATGATCAAACTATTAAAATACCTCAATATTAACAGCAATGATCAAATCAGACCTTAAACACATTAAAAGTATGCGGAATTATTGTAATGTCCTATTTGCAGTTTACATTAATTATATCAAAATAGATGTTCTATTTACACATACAAAAATTAGGAATTTTAGAATAACCTAATTTTTCCTTAGTATCACAAGGAATGCCCCATGATTAATAAAAATTCCTTTCAACTTACTAATAATTTCTTAAAGTCAAAAGAAACATCGAAATACTTTGATTTCCTTCTCGTTACTTTGAAAGAGGAAAACAATATAATTTTCCTTGTAACTAAAGTTAATTCAAGATTTATACTAAGTTTCTTTTTACGAAATATAAATAAAGCATAATTGATTGACTAATTCATATTCAAAGTTAAAATATAGACATTGAATTACAACCTTTTTATTTGTGTTGTTTATACATACACACTGTGAAATCTGTTTCGTTATCTTCCTGTAGTGAAATGGTACTGTTTTTATAATACAATAGCTTAACAAAGAAATAAAATGTTTTAAACCAAAAATTAATGGTGAACCATTGCAAAAGCAAACTTTGAAAGCGCATACGAACTCATAGTACATTATCAAAACAACACGCCATATAATTCTTGTAGAGGTATTTCTCGTCGGGTGGTACGTGCGGTGTGATTATTGCCTACAAATTTACGTCTAGTGTTTCATGTGCATAATTCCATGATTCTTCTTTATTAAAAAAAAATACTTTTTGTTTTTACTTTATACATCGAAAGTACTCTTTATGGCAAGTTGTTTTGCGACGATAAGGAAATAGATTACCTACATAGTCTGAAACTATAACAATAGACTTCTGTCTTGTTACATTTGCATAATTAATTGCTAATCACAAGTAACATCCATAAATTGTAACATTAATTGGTGAAAAATTTGTGTTGCATACTGGTTCACAAGTCCTACTGAGATTGTATGTTTTAGAAGCCCATCCTTACTAATCACCCTAATAATTATAATAAATGTGAAAGTTACTTTAGTTTTTTTTGAACCGTCAATCATACTGAAACTACTGAGCGATAAAATTTGGTATTGGGTGCGGTATGGGCTGACTTAGTATTCCAAATCGAGATATAAAGTATCCTGTGGTAGGATACTTTGAGAGATAAAATAGGCATCTTATTCTATGCGGAAGAAGTCGCTGGCAACAGCTATTATTGAATACTCAAGCGTTTTTGTTTTGTCTTTCTTTCATATCACACTATTTTATGCCTAAGAATAGGATAGTGAAGGCTTGAGACGCTATTTTTTCCTTTAGATCACTATGAAAATCAAGAAATCCAATGAAACAGTAACTTGCTCTACACAACCACCTCTATAAAACTAAGTTTAATTATCTCTACTATATGGTCTATTTGCAATTAATATTATTACATCAATGTAATTGCTGTTAGTCTATATGTAACTCATCAAAATGCAACTCACATCCATATACCTTCCATGTTGTTTATGTTTTTATATCAAGTTATAATTAGGTACTGCTTACAAGGCAAGTTATTGCTCATTAAATGTATACTTCTCCTATTTTGGACACTGGAATAAACTTCTTTAATAATCTCTCCATATTTTGTTGTTCTATGAATATGATTTTTATTTTTTGTGTCCAACTTTGATGTGTAATGAAAATTAAGTTCTCACATGTAGATTCATTGTTTCAAGTGACTATTTCTATCTGTTTACATATATGTAGCTAATTATTAAATTATTTATTGATGGAAGTAGTACTCAGTAGCTTACAATCAAAATGGAAACATCTTCAATAAGATCTGGTAAAAAACATACTCGTAGGACTGGTTTTTAAGTTTTTGTTAATCTAACATCAATTCTGATCCCTCAATGTCCCAGCAGAACGTAATCACTGATATAAGCAGTATGTTGTTTTATATCTTCTAAAATTTTTAATAACTAGTTAAAACTTATCTATCTTTCTTTTTACAGGTAAAAAGCGCAAGCTCAGCGAATCATCAAAAGAGCTATGTGTGTGGGGCGAAAACGCTCGACCGTCGAAACAGAGCAAGATATGGCCAGTGTTCGACTCCGGAGGGTACGGCAACGGAGCTGTAATGAAGCTCAATGTCCTCAAGAAGACACCCCCCATCAAGAACCCCTTACTCTTCCACACCACCTGCAACGAGGACATTGAACTCTCAGAGATCAACCGCGACCCCTTCAAAGCAGACTGGTTCGGCGGCCTCCACGCCTGGTGGAAGCAAACCCAGATGTCCAACAAAATGGCTGATGATGACGTCACAAAGAAGATCTTTTCTTCAGTCTCCCGTCAACTGAGAATCATCAACACCCATTTTCAAAAGTCCATGTTTAAATACAAGTATCCAAGGGTCACAAGACAGAATGTCCTTTTAGAGAACTCCTCGGGGATTCGAAGACCAGCTACTCATTTTAACTTGACATTGAAAGCTATCAGGTTCCAGTGCAATCCTCGGAGAGAGTTGCCCTGCTATGGCAATCTGGAACTGCCCCTGAAGATGAAGCAAGAGAGTGTGAACTCGCAAGTGTTTCCTGCTATAAGAAGTGTTAAGAGTGAGACAGTGAGTGACGTGAAGGTTAAAGTAGAGAAGGAAAGGGACAGGGAGAAGGAGAAGGAGCGAGAACGGGATAGGTGAGATATTTTGAATATTTTGTTGCTTGCTTTTGTTGTTCTCTGAAGGGGAAAAGACCCCATGTAGAATCTCTTAACTAAAGTTTGTTTATGTCAATAAAGAAATATGTGTCACTCTGTAGTTTCTGCCTTATGATATGGAACGAAAGTATGGAGGAGTTAAGGCTTGGGGGACAAAGCTGTTCCATGTGCTTTATGTGTGTTCATGAATTAACTAATGCCAATTCTAAGTTGTTGTTGAAAATAATAATTGAGAACACCCAATAATACTTAACCGACATGAGAGTAAGGCAGTAATCAATCGAAAATAAATATCACCTGTTAATTGAGCTGATTGTAAACCGACACATGCGTACTGCCTTCAGAACGGGACCTCTCAAACTGTTGTGATTCTTTCCTCAAAAGGCCACTACAGAAAGAACTTGCACGGTTCTCACACATAATCTTTTATACTCATTTGTCTGGACTTTAAAAGAGACTGACCTCTGAGTTTATTTCGGCATTTCTTCTCAGAGTAGTCAAAGGAAATGTCGGCCTCATCGTTCGCTTGATAAAATTGACGTGTAAAAGTGCTGCCTTGTAGCCTATTTGCAGAAATAAATTCACTTGTTTCACTTTCTATCCATTTCAAATGTTTAGTATTTTACTACCAAGTACATAACTAAGTTTATAATCTCTACTCTCCAGGTCATCCCACCGTCACTCCTCCTCATCATCGTCGTCGTCGTCCTCCTGCCACCACTGCCGGCGCCGCGCCCGTATCAAGCGATGCTCCATCGGCGTCCAGTGCCGCAGAGACAGGGCCGCCGGGGCACCTCTACCCAATGATAGCTGGGGACCTCTTGCTGAGACACCCACTGTCAAGGAACTAAAGTATCACCGGTGAGTGAAATGACATGGTGTAGGTACAAGTATTATTTATATCTGACTTTTGATTCGGTTTAGTAACAAAAATGACATCCTACCTTGTTTGAAATCTGGTAAAAATCCCAGTTTTGAGTAATAAAAGATAGCTATAAAAAATATTGTATAGCTATCTTGTCCATATTGTCAATAGACAATGGACAATAAAAGTTTTATTTCCTGTTTACTGAAATATATTTTTACTAATGTAATTGTGATGTAACTAATCGATTTTGTTACATTTTGAGATCTATAGTTTTATGTAACATCGCTAGATGTTATATCGCTTCATATCCTTTAAACTCCTCTATTTTGTAAACAGAAGAAAGCATTATTGGTATTATTGCCAACATCATATAGTTAAAATTACAATAAAAATGTACTTTTTAACAGACTGATGCGAGTGGAGACGCATCCCAACGGCGGAGCGAGCGTGGTGTACCTGCACCAGCGCGACGTGGACATGCTCAGCGCGCCGCAACAGGAGGCACTCGCTAAGGAGTTCTTGAAGGTATGTCGAACATAAATAACTAAGACCTTTGAAAATATGGGAGCGTCTGTCCTTTGAAAAAATATGTGTTCAGAGAAAATATGTCTATCAGTAGTCTAATCTTTAAAAAGGTCTAGCGGTAAGCATAGTGTGTAGAGCCTGTATAAAAGTTGTGGATATACCTAAAGAGCTGAATATCTAACTCAGTGGCATACTATTAATAAAGAAGAATGATCTGAATATGGTATTTTTTTTTTCTTTTCTGAATATGGTATATGATCCATTTGACAATCAACAATGAATTTCCGTTCTTTAGTCTCGCTAAAACTCGAGAATGGCTGAACCGATTTATCAAATAAATGTTCGTGAAAATCCAAGAAAGGTTTAAAAGGTGATAAATGAACGGTGTTAGAGAATGCCACCCGGCATTAAGTCCGCCATCGTATGTTTATTATACAGAAGTGTCAATAAATAAAATAAAAAATAAATAAATAAACTAGCTAGTGAAGAATAAATGAGAATATGTTGCCCTGTTCTCACATTATATTTGAGAAAGACAGGTCTGTCTAATATACTTCCTGCAGGAGAAAGTATGATCTTTATCATTCTCTTCATTAAAATTCAATTTATTTTCCAGCTGGTATTCTCAGAAGACAGTGCAGGGTGGGCGCACTTTGTATGCGGCGTGGTGCGTGGCGCGGCGGGCGCCTTCCCCTGCCTGCTGCAGTATCTGGCGTCGGCGCATCCCACGCTTACCGTGAAGGCCGGAGTGTTAGCTCGGGCTTCTGATATTGAGACTACTACCGTCAGCCGATATTATCAACAGGTAACTTGAAACCTTTTAGAAGAGAACAATTCTAATAGTAGTTAAGTTTTGAATTATAATTGATCTTGAAGCGCTGGTGCAAAAGGGCTCTTTTCCAATTTTCGTAACAATCCAAAAGATCTACGAGTGTTTTTATGAGATCTAAGGGAAAATGACTCATCATTTGATGGTAAGCTACCAGCGCTGGCCATAGAATGCTATCGCCATGAGTGCCGCAAGGTCTTTGTCGACCACTTCAGGGCAAAAAGCGATTAGAGCTCAAGTATCCTCACTCACAATACGAAACAAAACGTTGTTTCACGTCGGTTTTTTATGAAACCGTGTGTTTGTAGGAGTGCTATGCTTCGGCACAAATGGACCGGCTCGACCGAAGTGATACCACGGCCGATCAGAAAACCGACGTGAAACAACGACTGCGTGGTGTTTCGTCGTGTGAATGAGGTTACCGGAGGCCCAATTATCCCCCCTCCCTTTCCCAATCACCCTAATCCCTGAATCTCCAACAATTCTTAAATTCTTAATCCCTAAAAGGCCAGTAACGCACTTGTAACGCCCTTGGTGTTCCGGGTATCCATGGGCGACGCCGATTGCTTGCCATCAGGTCGTCTGCTCGTTTACTGCATTATTCCATAAAAAAGAAACTAATTTAACTTCGATCGAGTCTATTCTTTGGTACCACAGCATAGTTCTCTCATCTGAGCTTTGATTTAAACCTAATACTATTTTCCTATAGGTGCAACAGTCGTACGCGGCGGGTACGTTCCGCTGCGGCCCCCTGCACCAGATCTCCCTGGTGGGCACCGTGCACGAGGAGGTCGGCGGATACTTCCCCGACATGCTCGACATGCTCGCCACATGCCCCTTTCTTAATATGGTCAGTATTACATAGTTAATTAACTAAAAGTCCCGGGCTATTCACGTGAAAATACTGATAGGCTGCGCCACCGCGACCGCTCACACTGCTCATGAGGAAGACCCCTCTATGGTTCGAACCTAGTAGAGCTTTTCTCAGTATATTCACGTGAATAACCCGTTGCTTTTATGTAATTTAGTATATCTCACGATAGTTACTATACATATTACATAATTATAAAATTATAATGCCTCCCAAATTCATAGTCACATTTAAAATTATTAAAAATTGTTTTAATTTTATGACAATCGAAGATTTTCTCTGTTTTATGCTATCTCTAGCAGTATAACATAATAACTCCTATTTTATTATTTGCATTATTTTGACGAATAAGTGCATAAATCAGATGAAGCTGTCTGCTAAAGCTTTTAAATTAAATAACACAATTTAGCATACAGATTACAATTTCTGCTCCTTCATTCCTATACGTAAAGAACCTTATACATTGCTAGTATCAAATAACATAATTATTGTTTCCTTCCATAGACAATGCCGTGGGGTCCAATGTCAGCAGTGGAGATGGAGCCGCAGGAATCCAACGATGGACCCATTCTATGGATCCGACCTGGGGAACAACTTGTACCCACTGCTGAACTTGGGAAGAGTCCCATTAAGAAGAGGAGGTATGTCTATATGATAATATTTTGATCTGACAATTGTTTGAAGGGAAACTAGTTTTTTTCTTCTCTTATAATATCTTCTGATTCACTTCGTTGCGGGAACCAAGACAGTTATACATGTCCCTGGGACGCGCCGAACTTCAGTGTTCCGGTGTTTTCATGGTTGTATCTACTGTAGATCCTGGCTTACAGGAGTTGCAGCGGTTCTAGAAGGATGTGGCGGGCTTGTCCCATAAAAAAATTGTTTGAAGGGAACAGTTAGATTTCACCATTTACCTTTTACAATGAATAGGAAAGACAACAGGGTATGAAAATTAGAAATATAATTAGTCCGTCAGTTAGGTAATGAAAAAATATTAGAAAATAATACTTAGATAAAATGAATCAAAGTTTAGGAGTGGGAGATAAAACGTTATTTACACATATAAAAGGTACCTAGAAGTGACGTCACGCGATATTTCAAATCAATATACCGCTGAAAGTATTTGTTTCTGTAAGAAAATAAAAAATAAGTCTAATGTTTTAAAATAAACTATTGGATGGACATTCGAATAAAAATTAGCCATTTTGCGCTGCGATGAAGCCACTCATTTTGATACATTTCCTTGCTTTAATTACTACCTAGTAAAACTCAACACCAGCTTTGCTACCTTGTACCTTTCTTACCTTCAGAGATATTAAAGGATTATTAGAATTAGAAATAAGTCAGTACTAAGACTAATTGATACTAAAAATTCCTTCTCTCTCCAGGACGGGTATAAACGAGCTCCGCAACCTCCAGTACCTGCCGCGCTGGAGCGAGGCGCGGGAGTTCCTGTTCGAGGATCGAACCCGCGCACACGCAGACCATGTCGGACACGGACTCGACAGGATCACCACTGCTGCAGTTGGTATGTACCACTTTATCAACCAATTAATCATAATAACCAATCCTAAACCAAAATTTGTGGATCGGTCTCTGTTTTTGGCAGAATCTCCATCTAACTTATGTCAAAATGTATTAAAAACTAGCTACTTCCGCGCGGTTTCACACGCTCTGCTCAGCTCCTATTAGTCGCAGCGTGATGTTTTATAGCCTATGGCGATCCTCGATAAATGCGCTATCCACCACAAAAGAATTATTCAAATCAGACTTGTAGTTTACAGAGATTAGCGCGTTCAAACAAACAAACAAAAAACATACTCTTCCGCTTTATATAATAGTATAAGAGTATAAGATTTCGGCTGTTACGTGATAGATGTGTCTGGGGTGTCTCCAAGGCCAGAATGTGTAGGAACATTCACTATATTTTGTTTTAAATATTTTATTCTTGTACACAGGCGTACTAAAAGCGATCCACTGCGGCGACGAGTCGGACCGCGGCCGTATAACGAAGGACGTCGTGGCGTTCCACGCCGCAGACTTCAACAAACTGGTGCAGCTCCTACAGCTCGATCTCTACGAGCCTCCCATCTCTCAGTGTGTCACCTGGTCAGTATACTCAGTACTAACTGCTACAAGGGAAACGAAATATAATCGATAGTATACTTTTCATTCTGTGAAATCGATTTTTGCGAGGTAAATTAGCAGATGGACTACTTGATAGTAAGCAATCGCACCCGCGACACCTAAGATGTTACAAGTGCGTGGTCAGCATTTTTTTATCGCATAAGCCGGGAAACGAGCTTGCGGATCACCTAATGGTAAGCAATCGGCGTCACCCATGGACACACGGAACACCACAGGCGTTACAAGTGCGTTACCGGCCTTTTGGGGATTAGAAGTTTTAACCCATAGATCCCCAAGCGGTCACCAGTGACCGCTCTCCACTAATATTACATTACATTATAGACCTTATTTACAATGTTTAGAGACTACTTTTGTATGACCAAATTTAGGGGATGGATTTCAACGGGTTTGAGGCATTTTGGGGGTTTGGTATTTGTGCGGCGAAAGTCAAAGTTTCTTTTCCATTGGCTTTTTGTAATACCGTGGGACCACTCCGGTCGAGCATTTTCCATCTGATTTGCTGGCAACACCTAATATTTTTAGGTTAAACAGCGTTTAAAACAAATGTATTAATATATTTTTAATACATTAATTGTTTTAAAGGTTCCACATATATGTTATGTATGTTGTGGTGGCCCGGAGGTACAAGACGCCCGCTTCTCATGCATGAGAGTGCGTTATATGTACTTTTTCCGAGTTATATGTACTTTCTAAGATTATTTAGACACCACTGACAAACGGTGAAAGAAAACATCGTGAGGAAACCTGGGCTTATAATTTCTAATTATAAGTTTGTAATCGCCAACCCGTATTAAGCAAGCGTGGCGATTAATGCTTAAACCTTCTCCGTGTGAGAAGAGGCTTTGCTCAGCAGTGGGAATTTATAGGCTGTTGATGATGATGATCAATATATTTTTATACGTCCTCAGGTTGGAAGAAGCGAAGTTGAACCAGCTCCGTCGTGAAGGCGTGCGCTACTCTCGCCTGCCGCTGTGCTCCGACGACATCTACTTCCTGCCGCGGAACATCATTCACCAGTTCCGGACCGTGTCTGCTGTCACCTCTGTCGGTTAGTCTAATGTTATATTGTATTTTGTCGATATTATCTTCTGGTAGGAGAAACTTACTGTAGAGGTGCATGAGCTACATGGTGCGAGTACGATTCTATGTAAATAAGCTTTTGTTTTGTTTCCTCATGAAGTAAAGAAAATTGTGAGGTGGAACAGCGAATTCTTAATTAAAAACATAACATAACATCACGCCATTTATCCCCGAAGGAGTAGGCAAAGGTGCATATTATGCCACTGTACAATGTAACACCCACTTTTCACTATTTATGTTATGAGTCCCGTGTAATAGGGGGTGAGCCTATTGCCATATACCGGACACAATTCCAGACTCCGTGCTACTACTGAGAATTCTTAAAAGAAACGCGTAATACTTTGCCCGACCCGGGAATCGAACCCGAGATCCCTTGCCGCAGTCGTACTTGCGACCACTCGGGCAACGAGGCAGTCTTAATTAAAAAGAATGTTTATTTATATTATAGTAACATTATATGTTACATTGAATGTCATGTTTCATTGAAAGAGTCTACCCTCAAACATCAAATGAGGAGTGGACAGACTACAACTGAGAATTCATTCCTAACTTGAAAAAATCTTATTTTTTTTTACTAATTGCAACAATTTTCGTCCTCTAGCATGGCATTTACGCCTGAAGCAGTACTACCCTACATCGGAGGCTTCCTCCCCGGCTGACGAGCGACCCGCAGACCCTGTACCTGTCACCATCAACCATACTACGACTACGGGTTAGTTTGTATTTAGGTTTAGAATATCTTTATTTCTCACAAATAATCACATACATAATTCGCTTACTGAGAAACAATATTTCATACAAAAGTAAGCAATTTAGAGCGCACAGTAGTACGTACATATAAACGAAAACTTTTTGTCATGTGATTTTGTATAAGTTTTATGTCATGAATAGATATACAATTATACTGTTTGGACAAACAGTATAAGTAGTAAAGTTCAGTAGCGCAGTGGGTCCCCACTGCGCTACTGAATGGAGCGCCAAATAGTCAAACTAAGCGAGTGTAGTAATGAAAACAACGATACTTCCGGGCTCAGTGAGCGACTCAGAATGTCGACCACCGACCAAACGACCAACTGAGAATGTCATCTTTATAATTTCGAGACAATCTTATGTATGTGGCATAAAATGTGAGTTAATAATAAATATGTTGCATTTCCAGAGCCCAAAAAGTCAGCTAAACACAAAGCCGGTGTCATCGAGATGCGGGCACTGAGCGCAAAGTTCCACCAAAAACTAAATCAGAAGTCGGCACTGAAAGTCGCACCCAACAGGAAGAGCGTCGAAACACAAGTCAAGAGCACTGACAAGAAAACAGACACAAAGTCTGACAAACAAGACACAAACAAATCAGACAAAATTGAAGCCAAATCTGAAAAGTCAGAACCAAAAGTCGAAAAAACAGAATCCAAAGTTGATAAATCAGAACCCAAGTCTGACAAATTAGATGGTAAGCCTGATAAAAACGATTTGAAAGCTGAAAAGACTGATTTAAAGACACCCGAGAAAATTGAGCCCAAAGCTGAGAAAACTGATATCAAAGAAAAACCTGACAAAGTTGATCAAAAGTCTGACAAGTTGGACAAATCAGATAAAATTGAGCAGAGGATAGAAAAATCAGAAATTAAGCATGAAACCCCAGATAAAGACAAAACTAGACCAGAGAAAACTGAAATCAAAACTGAAAAAACAGACTCGAAATCTGACAAAATCGACACAAAGTCAGATAGAACAGATAAATCTGACAAGAACCACAGGCACAAGGATTCTGACAAACATCGTTCTGACCGTTCGGAGAGGTCGGATAAGACAGACATAAGGCACGAGAGGTCTGAGAAGGATAGATCAGACCACCACCGCCGTCGCTCGTCATCGTCCCGTCACAAATCGTCTCATCATAAGTCAGACCGACCGAGGGAACATAAGAAAGAGCACAGGAGTTCAGACGAGAGGAGAAATGAGAAACACAGAGACCGGTCTGACAGTAGTAGGGATAAGTCGGACAAGATGCCCGACAGCGGGAAGTTACCAGTGGATGTAGTTCAGCGACCACCAGATTAGTGGACTAGAGTGATACTGTGAAGTGAGTGTTTCGTGAAGGATTTTGATCAGTAAGTATGTTGTTATAAGTTTCATCATAAGATCTTGATCACTTGAATTGGTTTCGGAGCGGATCTCATATTTTATACGTCTGATTTGTGTGACTGATCGAGTTGGGAAATTATTAACTAATTTATTGTACTATTCGTTAGTATAATTGTTATTTTATTGACATTTCGCTGTCTATTCAACGCTGTTTTCTTTAGGAATACTATAAAACGGCTGGACGCTTTGTATAATGCCGTCTTTTTGACCGGCGGAGAGACTGTTTGTCTGCGGATTTTGAATTTGGACGTTTTCAAGTACAAACTCTTTATTCCTGCCGTTTCATAGTGTACCTAGGTAATATTTTTAAACTGCCTGTTACATGAAACATATATTTGAAGGGGCCAAAACGACACGATTTTGCGGAATAATAAAATCATTGACACTTGCACTTCAATATATAATTAGGTGAATTGTAGAAAGTTCTTCAATAGCTCGAGGTCCTTCATGAAATAACACCAACTTCTTAGCACTAGGGTACACTGTAAATAATATTTATAAGCGGCCTCTTAGAGGCTAAGCAGAGATGGTTCTTGAATGAACGCGCAGTTTTAGATTTCTTTTCAGTTGTAGAATATGCGCGGTTAACTCCAGTTTATTCTTCAATAAGATTTTCTAAAATCAATACTGTTTCGATTTGTTTTATTTTAATGACAGACTTACAGAAGCATTCTGTGTCAATTACGAAAATTAATAACAATCGTATTGTGGTTGTTATCAAATGGAAATTATTTTATTTATCTATTTTAACAAACTTTTCGCTCATCAATCCCAGTGATATAATAAAATATCTAAAGAGCAGCTATCCATAATGATTCAAATATTGTAAGTTTTATACATAATACTGAAGAATTTAAGTTGATTTAAATTTTCGAAAAAAATCATTCAAGTTGAATCAGTATTCCCGATCCCAGTATCAATTGTAATGTAATATATAAATAAATTACGTATAATTTTCTACATTTTAGTCCATTTCTTATACTATGTACATATATATTATGCGATTAATATAAATCAATTTTATATTTAAAATCTAAAACTGCGTCGCGTATGTGATTTGAGAGAGTTTTAAACGAAACGTAAATGAAAGAATAATATTAATAAAAATAAATAAATTTTAAGTAAATATAAATTTATTCACACATATTTCTAAAAATTGCACTAGAAAAGTAAATTATAATATATATTATTATTCTGAATAGATTACATTGTCTACTGCCGATGACTTTGACACTGTTTCGTGGTAAAATCTAATAAAATGCGAAATAGACAATATAATTATATATTGTACCACAAAAATATAAAATACCTAAGAAAAAATAAGGCCAGAATAATATTTAAATTTATAATATGGTAGGAATTTTTAAAAACTACCGTTGCCTTTATTTTTTTCTCTTGCAGCACTATCCAGTGTTGCTATATACAGTCGGTCTGGCAGTAGACATTATATTTGAGGTTATATCTCGAGTTTTATGGATTCATATATTTTGGTACTTACATAGTGTTTTGTGACCACTCATTGTGAAAATATGTCTCCAGTTTTTAATTTTCTTTTCAGTCAGTCCGGTCGGTCAGTCCCTTTATATTGTTTTTGTAACACACCTGTTTAAAATTTCTTGATCTGTCTTTAAACTAAGAAATAATTTGTATGTAGAAATATTTCTATTTGTACTGCCCCCAAGCGGCGGAGATATTTACTTAATTTACATCACCATTTCCGACGACAGATCAATCTGATATTTGGTACATATTTCTAATCTATATAACCATACAATATAATCTATGAGTTGAGGAAAACCTCAATTACGTCTATTATGGATATTAAACGAAAGGGTTTATTGGTAGAATTATGTTCCTTAAAGCCGTTTAACATAAAAAATATTTTTAAATCATTACTTGTATGTGATATTCTGAATAACATCAATAGAAGCACAGAAAAGTGCTATTTGGTGTGGCCAGGTACTCTCTTATTTTGTACTTTGTTCACAAACATTTCATATTGATCTTTGCTATAATTAAATCTTTGACTGCCAGTAAATAAATGTTAAAGGCAAATCTTTGGCTAACAATGCACATTATGGCATGCTCTGAATAATTAAACTTAAAGGGTTAACCGGACGATTACACTGAGTTTTACAACATTTATTTTACTTATATTTTTGTGAGGATTCGATAATCAATGTAGTGGTCACAAACACAATAAAAGAAAAGTCCTTTAAAAATCATTGAAAATAATAGAAATAGTGTTGAGATTGTGTTGAAGTGTTTAGCCGCTCCATAGCTTCTTATTTTGTAATACAAATTATACAATCTAACTTTATTGTAAGATCCTTGAATATGTGGTGCGAACTAAGCCATCAGATAGACGGATATTCTTGCCTGATACATTTATATATAAAACCTTCGTTTGTCAGTCAGTTTGAAATGTTTTTGAGTTGGCTATCCCTAGATGGTGATTGTGTTCGACTTTAATCTTTATGGATGTCATAAAATAGACAATTATAGTCTGTATTTGTTCCTGATGTCCAAAGTGTACATATCTGATATGTTTATAGCAGATTTAGAAAATTCTCCTGCATTTCTTAATTGTAAAATGATGGGATATTATTGATGATATTTATTTGATGAACAATTTCGATACTTAACCAGGCAATGTGCTTTACCAAGAAGGTATAAAATGAAGTTTCCAAATACATAAATGAAATTAAACCATTTAGGGATCATTAAATTGAACGGTAGATTAATTCATACTGTTAATTTCTGCAGTCATTCTAATAGAAAAGATGTACATAATAACTTAGCTCGCACCACCTCCCAGATAACTAAATACAGCAATAATTATAGTGACTTGTCCGTTAAATGCCCTATCTGTTACTTAGATGAAGACAGTATTATTAATGTTTATAGACAATTCTAGTGACGAACTTAGCACTCTGCTTATCCTAAGGAAAGCTACCAGCATCTTATGTGACTTATGACCTGATTTTACAATTTTATTAAAGCGACATCTGTTGGTGTCCCTTTGGAAGTTGGAAGTGTATGTCGATAGATGGCGCTGCAATCAGCATGCGTATTTTGTTTTCTGTTGGATTACAAGCTATCGCGATTCATTGTCAGTGTTTAGGTAAGATTGCAGGCTTGTGTTGATGAAAAATACATTGTTGATCTCACCCTTCAAGGTACTAAATTAATGAAATATGTAGTTTTCAAAATGCGATTTTTTATCAACTCAAGACTTTGAAATACCTACCAAATGTATATAAATGTCAATCGAAACTAATCACAGATTTTTTCAAAGAAATAATTTATATTTTGCGCAAATATTTTTTTCCTAGCTGTAACGTTGATTTTTTTATTTTAAAACGTAAGAAAATTTGTGAGTTTAAGTTAGCCCAGATTATTTGCGATCGAATGTACATTTTGTATATTTTATACTGCATAGATTAAGTGTTATGGAATAATAAATGTCTAGATTTACTTATGGGACGTTCAAATTTTATTGTTAAAAAATTATATAAGTCAATATTTTTGCATAATAAATAATTTTCGGGGTAGGCGCTGAGTTTGAAAAGAAGACTATTTTGTCTAAAAGTTTATTTATTAGAATTGGATGTGGAGTTTTACTGATGCTTCCATAAGTAAACCTAATCATATGAATGGTATGAAAACTCGAAGGGTAATCCAAAAGACATTTGAAATGTTGTAAAGTAATTGTAATTTACAATTTAGCAACATATTACGATCGCCTTGAGAGGACAATACCCTCTGAAATTGTTTTAATAATCTAAGAGTTTTCATTTAACACAAGAATGTGTTAACTTCGATCATAAATATGAGAGAGTGAATATTTTTGAGTCAATGTCGTCGTGCGCTAGTCAAAGCCAAAATCAAACTGAAATCAATTCAAAAACATAATTTCTTGCCTTAATTTTACTCTCAAATTGAATTGATGTCAATTCTAATAACTTCGATGTGTACCACACTAGATGGCGCTGTACTAAGTTTTGAATGTTTCGTTTGGTTTGGCAAATTTGACTAGATGACGAGTCTCAAGTCTGAAACGCAGACATTTTTGTGATTGATAAATATTTAACATATTTATGTTTAGGTGGTTAATTTATTGTTTCACGTTCCCTATATTTTTTTGAAAATAATAATTAGATTATAAATAGATTTTGTCGTTTTATTTTTTTTGTTACTTACTCCCTTTTGCAGGTCCTGGTAAATCTATACAAATCTATCTATACTTATAATAAATCTGTGGAGAGGTCAATTCTGCACATAAAATATATTTAAAAAATAACTATCAAGGGGTGGTTAGGGATCGCTATTGATGCCAAAAATGCAATCAGTAAAATTTTTGTCTATCTGTCTGTCTGTCTGTATGTTCGTTATGGAAACAAAAACTACTCGACGGATTTTAACGAAATTTGGCACAATTATTCTTAATACTCTTGGGCAGGTTATAGTATACTTTTCATTACGCTACGATCAATAGGAGCAGAGCAGTGAAGGGAAATATTGGGAAAACGGGAGAAGTTACTCCATTTTGCTTGCTAGCTTGCTTGCAAGCTTCCGTCGCGTGTGCAGGCTTATAGGTTAAAGCTGCATAGAAATCATGTATGACGGAAATATTCTCCTTAAAATTATATAAAAAATATTCCTCGACAGCATATGTCTACCTTTTATGGTTGACTCACAATAACACGTGAAACTCCAGATAGCTTAGCAATTCGGTGACTTCTGATTGTATTTGTCTACTCTAACGTTTACAATACTCATTCATAGACTTTACGCTGTAACTGAAAGGCCAATGGTTGAAATTAGCTTGACTCGATATTATAAATGAAAATATTTGAGTTTATGTGTATGTTTGTTACTCAGTCATATTAAAACGACTAAAGGGACCGGAATGA